GGGAAAACTTAAAGCATTTCTCCTAAGTTCTAATACGAGGCAATATTGCCCACTCTTACCACTTTTATTTAATGTTATTCAAGTCTTAGAGCAATTAAATAATAAGAAAAATAAAACTGGAAATAATACATAAAGTAGAAAACTATAAAGACTCCACAGAGAAGGGTTAGAAAAAAATTATCCGTTCAATAAAGTTAAGGTATACAAAATCAATATACAAAAATCAGTTGTGTTTCTATATACTAACAAGAAACTGTCCAAAAATGAAGGTAAGGAAGCAATTCATTTGCAACATCAAAAATAACAAATTATTTAAGCATAGATCATACAAAGCATAAGAAAGATACTTACTCTACAAACTATAAAACATTGATGAAAGACATTGAAGAACGTGCAAATAATTTGAAAGATTTCCCGTATTCATTGTTAGAATGTCCATACTACTCAAAGTAATCATGAGATTTATCCTTATCAAAATTCTGATATGTTTTTCAACGTAATAGATAAAGCAATGCTAATACTCAAATAGAACCATAAATGATCTTGAATAACCAAGGAATTTTTAGGAAAGCAGAAACAAATTGGAACTATCACTGTTTCTGATTCCAATATACATTATAAGCCTACAGTGAAAAATAGTGTGATATTGTGCTACAAATAGACATATCAACTTAGGGAACAGAATATAGAACCCAGAAATAAATCCATGTAAAGCCATTCAACTAATTTTCAACAAGAGGAGGATTTGCAAGAATACACAATAGGGATAAGATAGCCTCTTCAAGAAATGGTGTTGGTAAAAATGTATTCACATGCAAAAAAAGTGAAATTGGATTCTTAATTATACACAACACATAAAACAACTAAAACTGGATTAAGACACACTTGAGATCAGACGACCAGACATTGTAGAATTCATAATAGAAATTATAGGGACAAAACTCATGCATAGCAAAAAGAAGAATTAACAAAATGAAACAGCACCTACAGACTGGGAGTCAATATTTGCTAATATGTGTCCGATAAGGGGTTAATATACAAAATATGAACTCATGCAATACAACAGCAAAAAAATAAACTGCCCAATTAAAACAGGACAGTGGACTGAACAGCTGTTTTTCTAAAGACAAATAAACGATCATCAGTATGTGAGAGTTCTCAGTGTTACTAATTATCAGGGAACTGTAAGTCAAAACCACAACAGGTTATCACTTCTCATCTGTTAAGTATCAGCAAAAATATCAAAGGATAGCAAGCCTTCTTGAGAACATTTATAAAATATAATTCTTATACAATGTTAACAAGAATGCATATTGACATGACCATTGTGGAAAACAGTATGGCTATTCTTTTAATTTTTAAAGAGTTATTTATTTATTTGAAAGGCAAAGTTACAGAGAATCAGAGAGAGAGAGAGAGAGAGAGAGAGAGAGAAAGAGAGGTCTTCAATCTGCTGGTTTACTCCCCAAATAGCTGCAACCGCTGCAGCTGGCTGATCTGAAACCAGGAAACTGGAGCTTCTTCTGGGTCTCCCACACGGGTGCAGGGGCCCAAGGACTTGAGCCATCTTCTACTGCTTTCCCAGACCATAGCAGAGAGCTGGATCAGAAGTGGAGCAGCTGCGACTTGAACCAGAGCCCATATGTGTTGTCAGTACCGCAGCTGGAGGCTTTACCTGCTATACCACAGCACTACCCTGGAGATTCTTAACAAAGTAAAAGTATACTACAATATTATTCAGCAATTCCAGGTTGGATATTTGGCCAAAGAAACTGAAATCATGATTTCAAAGAGATATTTATGCAGCAATACTTATTGTAGCATTATTCATAGTAACCCAGTTATGGAATCAAGCAAAATGCTCATGAGCAGGTGAATGTACAATCAATTTTTTTTGTGTGTGTGTGTACAATGGAATATTATTTGATCTTACCAGGGAAAGAAAACTTGCCATTTTATCGTATACATTTATTGCCATACATATCTACTGTAGTGCTATTTTTGATGCGTATCTATAACATATGTTAGTATGTTGCATTTTTGTTTGATCTGTCTTGAGACGTATTTTTAAATTCCTTTGGATTTCCTTAGACCCAATGATTGTTTAAGAGTGTGTTGTTTAGTTTCTACCATCATGAATTCTCACTTACTTTCTCTATTGATTTGAATTTTTATTCCAGTATTGTCTGAATAAATACCTGAAATGTTTCCTTTTTTAATTTGTGAAGACCTGTTTTGTGTCCTCATACATAGTCTATCCTGGAGAATGTTCATGTGAACCTGAGCACATGTTGCTGAAACTGTCTGTTTCTGTTGGGTGGAATGTCAGTCATGTGTATGTCTCTAAGTTCCTGTTGGTTTATGGCATTGCATAAGTCCTCTGGTTCCTTACTGATTTGTCTGGATGCTTTATCCATTCATAAAGTGAGATATTAGTCTACTAATGTTATTATATAGCTGTCAATTTCTCTCATCATATTTGTCAGTATGTGCTTTATATATATATTGCTATATTTTCTTGTTGAATCGATCCTTTTATCTTTCTTTCTTTTTTTTTTTTTTGACATGCAGAGTGGACAGTGAGAGAGAGAGAGACAGAGAGAAAGGTCTTCCTTTTCTGTTGGTTCACCCTCCAATGGCCGCCGCGGCCGGCGCGCTGTGGCCTGCGCACCACGCTGATCTGAAGCCAAGAGCCAGGTGCTTCTCCTGGTCTCCCATGGGGTGCAGGGCCCAAGTACTTGGGCCATCCTCCACTGCGCTCCTGGGCCACAGCAGAGAGCTGCCCTGGAAGAGGGGCCACCAGGGGGACTAGAACCCGGTGTGCCAGAGCTGCAGGAGGATGATTAGCCTATTGAGCCGCGGCGCCGGCCGACCCTTTTATCTTTATATAATGACTTTTTACATCTTCAGAGACAGTTTTTGATTTTAAATGTATTTTTATCTTATATAACTTTGAACACTCCTGCTGTCACTTGGTTATCATTTTTGGAATATCTTTTTTCATCCATTACTTTCAGTCCAAGTGTATTTTTAAATCTGAAGTGAATCGCTTGTACATAGCAAGTCTCTGTTTTTGTTTTCGTTTCATTTTTTTTATCCTTTCAACCACTCTGATTTTTGATTGATGAATTTAATCCATTTACATGAAAAAAATTATTGATAGATGAGCACTTTACTGCTGTTTTGTTAATAGATTTCTCTGTTTTTCTGTTTTGTTCCTCTCTTTCTCTCTTCTTATAGCCCTTTGTTATTTGAAACATATTTAGTAATGATTTTCTGAAACCTATATTTAAAAGATAGTAGATGTAGCTTTCTCTCCTGGGTAAGATTATTTTGAAATAATGTTTATATATTTTTAATTTATTAATATAAACAGAACTGATTTCATGCATTTCATAGATACAATTCCAGGAAGATAACCATACTTCCTTCTCTCCCTCCCTTAATGGCCACTCTTTTCTTCCTTTCTTTGCTTCTTCTTTAATTTTTGCAACCATACAATTTGAACTTATTTGTAAGCACTGACTTAATGCATTACTAACCATAATGTTCAACATGTAAAAAGTGGAAAGGCCACCATTCCACAGGTGTGTAGACAAGGGCTAAGAGCAATAATCAAGTTGTAAGATGCCAGTTTCATTCTTCTGCTTTTTTTGTATTCTATTAATTACCACAAATCAGAGAAAACATATGATATTTATCTTTTGGAGACTGTGTTATTTCACTATGCATAATGGGTTTCCAGTTGCATCTATTCTATTTTATGGCCGAGTAATGTTTAAATATTTGGGATAGGCACTCTTTTTTGCATCTATGAACTATTCCATATTAAAATCCCTTGATCTCTGCTGTAGCTATTCCTCATCAACATTATTTAAAAATATCACCACAGCTCTTTTTTTTTCTAAAATGAAACTTAAATGTGAGCATCATCTCTTCCCCCTTTTCTGTAGTATGAATCCCAATTTTTTAGCATTGCATATAGCACACTTTGATGTTATTCCCAATTTATCTTTCTACTCCCTTCCATGAAAACTATGTTCTATTCACATTGACCTACTTTATATTTTTGAATGTTCCATGCTCTTTCAAACTTCTGTGCCTTTGCACATGCTGTCACTTCTGAATAAAATGCCCTTCTCTACTTTTATATTTGGTAAATCCATTGGCATTCCTTGAAGCCCAGTCAAGTATGACCTTCTCAATTTTATGATTCTTTCGTCTCCAAAAGTCTAGAGCATGTTGAACTATCTCTGAAATTTTGTACATGTTTAATAAATGTTTCTTAAATGAGTAATCAATAAATCTCTGTACTGTGCCATTTTCTGTTGTGTATAATTACTCTTGTTATTATTTATTTTGCTATATTTAATTAAAATATTATTTCACTTTTGAGCAACCTATGTATTTCTTTTTAAGAATATTATTTTATAGCATGGAACACAAGGGGAAAAGCATACTTGTGTAACTGGATAGAAAAAGTGGATCAATGAGGTAATATTTTAACATTTTATTTTAAAACTGCATAAAATGCTGGTATATGATAAAAAGTATGGTATTTCAACACGGTGATCAGAAAAAAGGACTATGAACTGTGGTCTCCAAAATGATGTATTTACGGATTTCAAAGGTATTGCAAGGGAAATTAGGAGGTGAAATGTATGGATGGGTCTTTCTTTTTTTAAGTGAATTGAGAGGCAGGGGAACACCATGGCAAACATAAGCTATACCAGCTATCTGTTAACAAAGTGAAGCTTTTACTTTGCCAAAGTATGACAAAGATTGTGATTTCTTAAGGTCTTGAATTTCAGACTAAATTATATATACTGACTCCCAAATGGGAAGATCCGTTTGAAAAAGTGAGTTGAGACCCTATTTATTTATAACTCCACATAATTCATTTTAACAAATGTCACTGCCTTTACAGTTGCTGACCAAAATCAGTGAATGAAAATGTTTTTACATTTTAATACTGTAGAAACACTCAATCATGTATTTTCTTTTTGGATTTATTTATTTATTTAAAAGACAGAGAGTTACAGAGAGGCAGAGGCAGAGAGAGAGAGAGAGAGAGAGAGAGAGAGAGAAGTCGTCCATGCACTGGTTCACTCCCCAGATGGCTGCAATGGCCGGAGCTACACCGATCCGAAGCCAGGAGCCAGGAGCTTTTTCCAGGTCTCCCCTGTAGGTGCAGGGCCCAAAGATGTGGGCCATCTTCTACTGCTTTCCCAGGCCATAGCAGAGAGCTGGATCAGAAGTGGAGCATCTGGGACACGAACCAGCACCCATATGGGATCCTGGCACTGCAGGTGTTGGCTTTACCGGCTATACCCCCCACTCGTGTACTTTAAAGAGATTCACTATTAAACATTATTTCCTTTACAGATAAACAGAGCATAGAGATTATTTACATCATATAGTCACCCTTTAAGTATGCTGAATACCTTTACACTATCCATTTAAATATGGAGTTGGTGCAACCCAATATTTTAAATGGAGCTGAATATTCGGACTCACAGAAAAAATTCTGTATGACTCTTCTGAGCTCTGGAAAATATGCCTGAAGCTTTATTTCTAACATATGCATGTGTAAGAAAGAAAGTAACAAAGTGACAGAAAATACAGTTAGTAATTCTATTATTTTCCAACCAGGTGGTTTTGTTCAGGTAACACATAGGAGAGTACGTGGGTCACTTGTCATCAGACCATGGACTGATTTGGATTCTGGATTTTTTCATAGTCTCCAGCATAGTGTTGATACTGATCAGTGAGGAGAGGCTGATTAGCTTCATCCATTCTGTTTCTGGCACGAATCAGGCAAGAAGCACCCACAAAAATGACTGCAATCAGCAATAAAGCAGCAACTACTGCTATGGTAATAATCTCAGATACACTAAAATTTTGACCTATTTGAAAAAGAAAATAAGAAAAATATTAAAATAGTTATCTCCAAAACTTCAACACCCCAATTAACACCCTGTTGTAGGTACTTTAACAGAAATTCTCAAATTGAATTTTTGTTGACTACATTGACTAACCTAAACACCTGTTATTTAAAAAGTACTTTCTAATTTCTTTTAAGGAGTGAACGCTATTGGAAGAGATATTGTTATTTCCATTCTAAGGTGAGGAAATGATGGCTCAAAGGACTTGAGTCACCAGTCCAACGTCACTTAGTTAGAAGACAGAGTTGGTCAGAATAAAAACTCTGCTTTTGTGGTATGCCCTACTGCCTTTGTTGAGAAAGAAACTTAAAAGTAAATAAGTTATGCATTTTAAAATCTCAGAAAAATAGCTTAGAATATCTTACTTCCTCTTCATTTAGGATAAATGAATGGAGGTGACATGCTATACAAGAAAAGTTGGGACCTATGGCATGGGCCTACACTCAAAATTGATTTGCTGTTGTTGGAAATATGATCTTTGATAATTAATCTCTCTAAGCCTCACCTCTCTGAAGGTTGCGGGTGGGAGGGACGTTATGGGGGGGAAGCCACTGTAATCCCTAAGCTGTACTTTGGAAATGTATATTCATTAAATAAAAGTTAAAAAAAAATAACCACAAAAACAAAAAAAAAATAAGATAAGACTCACCCCAAAGAACTATAAAGATTAAATGAGATAGAGCACTATATAAACAACTCAATGCATGCCAGGTCAGAGTTCTGAACATATATTAAAGTACCTCTCTTTATCCCCAAATAAAATTCAAACTGAAAATGTAAGCCTCAGCATACTGTGGTTACTTTACTTTAAAGATAATTTATATTTGGAAATTACCACAGTAAAATACATTTCAATGCTTACCTGGCCATTGAACTTCATAAGTATATCCAAGGTTGTCTGGAGCAGTAACAAACATCTCTATGTTGGTAATTGGAGGCCAGAATGGTACCATATTGTATTGTCTATTATGTCCAATAGGGGCATTTTCCAATGGAAAGGTGGATATATCTAAAATATTCCAAAGGCAACTTGTTAATATTAACATGAATATTATTCTCAAGTTGTCCAATATTCAAGGATAACATGAAAAGATGTTCTCCAATATTTTACACTGAATAAAGACATAAAGAAAGTTCATAAAGCAGAACAGGGAATTACATAAAACAACTGAAGTGCTTTGAATAAAGCACTGAAATAGCTCTCAATAGAAAAAAAGTTTTCAAAACAGAAGCTTGAGTACTTTACTATCTATGAATAACATGAAGTGTTTTGTTTCTAAATTATAGAAGAAATTGGAATAAAACTTGTTAAACTTATTTTTCAAAGCCAAAACAAAAAAGAGACTTGTAAGTGGCCATACCATCATTTGCTAAAGTATATTAAGGAATAATTATAATTGTAAAAAAGAAGGGGTTGTCCTTATATTTGTTTTTTAAAGATGTATTTATGTATTTGAGAGGCAGAGCTACAGAGAAGAGAGAGAGAGACAGAGAAAGAGAGAGAGAGAGAATCTTCTATCTGCTATATCACTCCACAAATGGCTGCAATGGCAGGGGCTGGGCCAGGCCAAAGCCAGGAGCCAGGACCTTCTTCTAGATCTCCCACATCAAGCACGTGGGCCATTCTTCTGCTGCATTCTCAAATACATTAGAAGGGAGCTGGATCAGAAATGGAGCAGCCAGGTCTTGAACTGGTGTCTATATGGCATGCTCTCCTTGCGGGTATTGGTTTTACCCCTGACACCACAGTGCAGGACCCAGGATTATCCTTATCAAGTTGAATGCTTTGGAAAGATTTGTCAAATATGAAGGGCTGAAGTGCTACATGGACTAGGAAGTGGGTCAAATGATTGTAAAGGATTAATATGCATTTAGATTGAATCACTAAACTTGTGAATTTCTTGTTTTGCTTTGTAGAAACTGACAGTATAACTGTAGATAATTCATTATGATTATAGTTATATATGTAAATACATAAGAAAAATGTGATGGCACTCCAATTAGTGAATTTATAACCAATTGACAACTGAACAAATATTTGTGCGTAGGTTATTTGTATTTTTTAAATGATTTCTGATACAGGAAAATATGTTGACTAATCCATCAATAAGTGGTCTTGACCAAGTTGAATTAGAGGTGGTTCTTCTTCTTCTTCTTTTTTTTTGACAGGCACAGTTAGGCAGTGAGAGAGAGAGAGACAGAGAAAAAGGTCTTCCTTTTTACCCTTGGTTCACCCCCAAAGTGGCCACCATGGCCGGCTTGCTGCAGCTGGCGTGCTGCGCCGATCCAAAGCCAGGAGCCAGGTGCCTCCTCCTGGTCTCCCATGTGGGTGCAGGGCCCAAGCACTTGGGCCATCCTCCACTGCCTTCCTGGGCCACAGCAGAGCTGGACTGGAAGAGGAGCAACCAGGACAGAATCCGGCGCCCCAATTGGGACTAGAACCCAGGGTGCCCGAGCCGCAGGCGGAGGATTAACCAAGTGAGTAGAAGCTCTTCTTGTGCATGTACACACCAATATACATACACACACAGAAAAAAGGAGACTACCTAATTCAGTAGAGAAGTTAGTAGATAGTTATTTTCCAGTATCGTGTTTATGTGTATGATGAATTAAAGGCACAGACCCCAAAACTTGGAATATTTTACAAGTATAGAAATCAACGATGTGTTATCAGTGAAATCACTTTCATTGTCTTAAAAAGTCATGTAAATCTCTCACAGGTGAGTAGGAATGCAGCTAAGGAAGCCTTTTAAACAATGTTTTAAAGAATACATTGAAATGAACTTGAAAGAACTTTCCTATGGTGTGATATAAAAACCAGCATTAACTTTTCAAGTCGAACAAAATTTCCATTTATGAGAGGTTATAAAGTAATAGGGGTGTGGGTTATGAGTATAAAATTTTTAATCTTTTGAGATATCAAAGAAGAGCTCTCGAAGATTTTCCTATTCATATTAAGAAGTAATGAGAACATTTGTTGAAAGATATGGGGAAGAAAAATTTGGAAAAATGGTAGTCATTTTTCAATATTAAGAATAAGAAAGGATTACCTGGCTAGCCCTAGTGAATAATAATAAAGGTCACCTTCCAGTGACTATTCTGAGATACTTGCCTACATTTTCAAAGTGGCTCTGAATCCTCGGAAATTGCTAGATATTATAGCTATTATATCCTTATTTTGAGTGTATTCTGTGTGTGTCAAATGCTTAGGCTAAACTGCTAACAGTGGCATCTTAATAATCCCCCTTGCTGAGCTTGCAAAAGACATTTGAAAATATCTCACCAGCATTGTATCTCCTTAGCCATTCATCAAAGACTGCATCAGTGAAAGTATGCAGGAGGACAAAAATAGGATCATTTGGAGACAAATGGGTTTGTCCCCCTGTTCCATTCAGGAATAGATGGGCTAAATTGTGAAGACTCCGAACAGCAGGATCGTACTTTCCTGTGGGAGCACTGTAACCTAGATTTAAAGTAAGCAGGAGAAGAGTAAAAACTATTGCAAATATTTTACTTTTCAAGTTAACAGCAGTGATTATGTTGGGAAACAGTTTTTTCCCCTAAAGCTTTTCAGGCCAAATTTTGCCTTACTACAATAGCAATGCATGTCTGTACCAAAGGTTGATGACGTTTGCTTGCTATACCCAGAGCTAGTTTGGTTTAAGCTAGTGCATGATATTCTAACTATAGCACCTAGGCTAAAAATAATGAGATGCGATGGATGCTGGCTAAAATATGTAGAACACTCTATTTTGACAAGGCTGTCAACATGGAATTAAAGGTAGTAGAAATCTCTAGTTTCTTTTAAACTGCTGACACAATTGGGAGAACAAAACTCTCATTGTCCTAGAACCTAAATTGCCAGATGTTAGTTTAGTCTCCAGCCTTACTCATTTGAATGACTCTCAGCATGTTTATTTTTGAAAAATTATTTTTGTATGAAAGTTAAAATTTTTCTGAACTTTTCTAGCATCTTTGTAACCTACTGTCAAAAATTTATATAACTTTCAATATAGATCACTATTTCCCATACATATTTTCATATATATATTCCATTGGTGGAATTCTGTAAATATCCCACTGATATTAAGGAGAAGATGAAGATAAATGCAGAGTAGGTCACAAATAAGAATGAAGGGCTCTGACACGAGGTGTCTTATTGGCTTGAGGAAACAGAAGTAGGAGAGCAGGTAAAGACAGTATATTACAAAATGAAATCAGTACTTAAAATATGTTAATCTTTTTTCTCTTAATCTTAGATTAATTGAAATAGTTACTTCTGGTTATTCATTCATTTCTTATGCATTAATTCCATTGTATTTTGATTTAGAAAACAGTTAAGATTGTCTATAATCTATATGGTGTGTTGCTAGGCCCCACTCTTTTCATACATTACATCAGAAAATCAGTGGAATTTACTTTCTGCACATTATTTAAGAGATTGACAATTACAGCCTTAGCTTATAGGTACTAGCTTAGTCAAAACATAGTGCTTATTTTTTGGATGATATCCAAATCAGTGTATTCATTTAGCTATAAAAATGAAAATAAACAGATGGAAATTGCATGCAACTTTGATAATCATAGGGGAGATAATGAAAAATAATTATCAGATAGGTATCTCAGATCATGGGATGGAAGAACCTATTCCCAATTTTTGTGGAATGTGTGGGGTGCATCTAACATGCAATTCTATATTAATTGTAATTTTTGAAAGTACCATTTATAATACAGTTAAATATACTTGCATTTCTTTAAATAGCTAAATAAATACAATAATTATTTAAAATTATAACATGTATTATAAAATACATTAATACAGATTCTGGACTTAGAAAATTTGAATCTGGCTCTAACTTACTGGCTGAACATCTTGGGAAAGTCACTTCACCTCTTTGAAGTTCAGTTTCCCCAACTTTACAATGCCTTTTTTTTTTTTTTAAAGATTTTATTTATTTTATTTGAGAGAGTTACAGACAGTGACAGGGAGAGACAGAGAGAAGGGTCTTGCATCCATTTGTTCACTCCCCAAATGGCCGCAACAGGCAGAGCTGTGCTGATCCAAAACCAGGAGCCAGGTGCTTCCTCCTGGTTTCCCACATGCGTACAGGGGCCCAAGGACCTGGGCCATCTTCTACTGCTTTCCCAGACCATAACAGAGAGCTGAACTGGAATTGGAGCAGCTGGGACTAGAACCGGCTCCCATATGGGATGCTGGCGCTGCAGGCAGAGGATTAACCTACTGCGCCACCGGCCCCTACAATGCGTTTTTAAAAAGTATTAAATAAAGAAAATCAAATTAAATATCAGGAGGTGCTAATTCAAATTTTGTATACCTTTAAATAAAGTTATAGGGTGATACCGACCTAAATTAAACATGTACCCAAATCAGATGGTCAACTAATTGTTTTTGATTCTTTTATTGTTTGTATTTTAAAATCTATTTTTATTCACAGAGTGATAGAAAGGGATAAAGATAGACAGAATTTCTATCCACCGTTTTCTCCCTAAATGTTCCCAACATTTAGGATTGGCCCAGGTGGAAACCAGGAGCCTCTGCATCCATCTCATCTCTCATGTGGGTAGCAGGGGCCACTCTTTAGAGTCACCAGCTGTGGTTTCCTGTGAGCATTAGCAGGAAACTGGGTCAGAAATGAAGCAGCTGAAGTGCAAGGTGGTGCTCCAATATGATATGTGGGCATCCTAAGCAGTAGCTTAACAGCTATGCCAGAAAGTCCATCCCTTGTTGATTTTTATTTTATTATTTTTTTATTTTTATTTTTTTCTCTTTTCTTTTTTTTAAATTTTTTATTTAGTAAATATAAATTTTCAAAGTACAGTTAATGGATTGCAATGCCCCCCCCATAATTTCCCTCCCACTCACACCCCTCCCATCTCCCGTTCCCTCTCCCATTCCATTCACATCAAGATTCATTTTCAATTACCCTGGTTGTGTTTTTAAAAGAAAATACAAATGTAAGATGTTGTTAAAGGCTTGAATATTATTTACCAAGGCTAGACTTTCATAGCTAAAATAGCTATGTTAAATATAGCATAGTTAAAATAAAAATAAAATAAAAATAGCATAGTTAAAAATATTGGCCAGCTAGCTATCAAATTTAGCTTAAACAGATTTTAGATGTTTAAGAGTTTGGAGAACAGTTCCAACCTCTTAGCTGCAATAGTGCTTCTCTTTTGATAAGTTAAAATGAGCTTTATAAAGTCTTTTTTGAGCCGTTATTTATAACCAAATCATAATAGGAAATTCCATTTATATAAGCTCCCTGGATCAATTTGGTATTCAAAGCTTTACCAAAGAAACTGATTTTGAATGCTTCAGTTTATTCTAATAACTCAGCTAGACCAGTTGGAAGCACACATTTCATTTACTTGCCTTCCACTGTGTTTCGGAAACTATTTGTGGAATTGGAATAAAAAGGAGGTGTGTCAAATACACCAACTTCCAAGCACTGGGTGACATCCTGTGGTTCAGGAAGGCGCTGCACCATCGGTCTAGCCACATTTCCAGCTGGATTCCTCCTGATTGGCCCATTCTCAGTGCCTGTGAAAAAGATGGGGTAGGTCAACGCTTAGAATCTTATTGTTGCTCTTGAAAACTCTGTATCTAATGTGACTATCGAAACATGAATTCTCCCTTGTAGAAGGGAAAAATTTTAAATGTACACTTAGTGGCATTAAAGTGAGAATATTGAAGTGACCATGTCCTACTTCAGTAAGTAGAGTAGGTATGTGATACAAAAACATCTGAAGGAAAAAAAAATGATCACACTAACAGATGCAGGTCCTTGTATTTGTTAATTTGACATATGTTCTTTCATGAAAATGTATTAAAATGAAAATTCCATAGAAAATTGAATTTTGCCAAAATAATCTCATAAACCTAAATTCCATACTGAAATCCATATTTCATATGTTACATGGGATTTTGCACCCGAATGCCATCTGTCTCAAGCCTTTAGAAAGAAGAAAACACCTTAAAGGTCTTTGAAAAGTAGTACATATTTCAATCAAAACACATTTTTAAGTTTATTCAGCAAGTAATTCAAGAAATAAACTTTTTTGAAGACAAGTTAAAAAAAACAGGCAAAAAAGAACTATGATGCTAAGTATAGATAATATGAAATAATGAAGAAATGAAGGGGAGATTGGGGGAAGCAGAGAGAGCGAGAACTCACTCCCACTTTCATTCATAAAGATGGATTTACAAACAGTTCTGAATGATATAGGAAAATTTCCACAGATGAAATAGTAGGAAATTTACAAGGCAAACATTTTACGCTCAGAAAATATAGGAGAAGATAGGCTTGCTTCTATTTATAACAAAAATCCCATCAGAAGAGGAGCTCTACCTATTCCTGTTCAGCAGTGTCTCCCTCAGTCTTGGCACAGGGCCTGGCATTTAATAGGTGTTGAAGAGTCCATGGGAAAGAGCATGTTAGCTGTAAAAAAGGACTTGTTTAGGGAATAGTTTGCCTCAAGGATGTGGGAAAGATGGCAAGCTAGGTCAGAGCCAAATTGTGAAGAAAACAAATACCAAGGCGAGAAAGTTATATTTAATTCATGAGGAAGTGGAAAGAACTTGAAGCCTTGGAGCAGTGAGAGGCTAGGAGATGGGTTAGAGCATTTTGTACCAGTCTGGCCCAGTGGTCTCAGGAGAGAACTGTGCATGGAGCAGTGGCGTAAGCAACATAATCCACTGGCCTGGGAGAGGAAATGGTACACCTTCAACTCACATTCTTTTTAACTCTTTTATTAAATGTCTATGTTGTAAACTTTATAATTAATTAATAATTAGCAATGGTGAAATAACATAATCAATTTTAAGTTATATATAAATAAAATATATGCCTGCATTGGGACGGTAAATTGAGTGTACATATTTTGGGTGTATATTATCACCAAAATCTTTCAGATACCATTAGTTAAATTATCAATTCCAACTGATGATTTAGGGAGTACTTATTAAGGGGCTATCAAAAATCCTAAAGATAATATTTATTATTTGTATTTAGAAACCCTGCACCTCAATTTGCCTTCATTGAATTTCTTACAGGAGAAATCTGATAATAAAGAAACAAATTAAACTGGTTCACTTTCAGGCTAGTGATTTTTAAATTTGTTTATACATGGGTAACTTCAGCCATTGCACCTATTAACATCCTATACACCAAAATTTTATGAAGTTTCCAGGTAGGAATAAGTGAAAAGTCCGTAATGTTTGAAAGAGAAAATAGGTTTGATCAGTATTTAAAAGGAAAAATGATGAATTAAAGAAGACATTTGAATGTTATGAATGAATATTTTAAGGTTATGCATCTATAATTCAGTTTTTCAAGCCATCAAGTTTGGTGCATCGATGGAATAGTAGAGAGATGAGATGCACTAAGTAATTGAAGACATAGGTATTGAAAATCTAATTTGACCTAAAGATTACTGGCATGGGTCTTTTATAAAAGATAGTCAGTGAAATCACAGGATTGGAGAAGACCATCCAAGATAGAAGAAAGAATAGCTATGAGGGTTAAGGAAGAGACCATAGTAAAGCACTTGGCACTCCATCAGGCATATAATGCAGGCACAATACAATTTTAACTTCTTTTTTCTTCCCATTCTCTAATAAATAAAATAGTTTGCATTTATATATTCTTAAAAATTTTTTTTTAAATTTTATTTGAAGGAAGAGAGAGAGAGAGAGTGCTTTCATTTGTTAGTTCACTGCCCAAATACCTGCAACAGCTAGGGTTGGGTCAGGATAAAGTCAGGAGTCAGAATACCATTTGAATTGGGGTAGAAGGGGCCCAAGAACTTAAGTCATTATCTGCTGCCTCCTAGAGTGGACAGGAACAGGAAGCAGACCAGAAGCAGAGTAGCTGGGTCTTGAACCAGGTGCTCTTATATGCGATGACACACACTAAAATAAGGGGGTGATCTTAAAATCTGATCATCCTAAAACAAATAATTTTTGCCATGAACTATGCTCTGATTAGATTTATTACATTAATTCACAGGAGGACCTGAGACGCAAAGGAAGTCTCTTGCACTTGTTCTCCCTTCCTAAACTTAGTAATTTTATTTCCCCATGTAAATGGTGTTTTATTTTAGCATCTAATTATTACAATGAATAGAAAATGTCTTTAAAATGTCAATTCCAAAATTGCTTGATCAGAAAGAGATGCGTATTTTGGTATTTGAAGAAATACTCATCATCAGTTTAATTTCTCTGCCACAAAGTGGGATCACTCATTTGGCATGCCAAAAAAGATGTATTCTAATTTTTAAACTTTTACAAAGGAAAATTCCACACAGTTTCACTTTTCTTATTCCTACATGGAATTAACAATCTAATGTTGCAAAAAAAATCTTAATTCCTTCTGATCTATTTAGGATATTCTTATTTATAAAAATAATTTAACATGATGTATAAAAGAACATTGACAAGTATATTTCATTAATGTGCTCATAATAATAGAATAAATCCCTACAACTCTGGTTGTTAAAGTTCTAATTAGGCAGACATGCCTGAAGAAGAAACATAAGATGGGGCATGAGGACTCTAATAATAAAGGCCTGGTGTTAGTAGCACAAGAGCAGATAACAATTTGATCCAAAGATGAGAATAATAGGAAGTTCAGGAGTAGATCTGCATGTCATAGAAACTTAATTCTGACAGAGGTGTCTCTTAGACGACTGGAGGAAGAATGCTTCAGCAACTAGTTAGGCGTTGCCCTGTGTTTTGTGAGAGCTGGAAAGCAACTAGCTGGCTAACATCTGTACAAGAGCTTCCTTTCCTGAATGATCTTACCCATATTTCCTTTTGATTTATAACTCTGAATAAGCATAAGCAATGTTTTCCAATTCTTTCACTCTCTTCTTCCCTCCCTTCTTTCCTGCCCTTTTCCCTCAGCTCCCAGAGCATTTCCAGATCTTCTTCAATGTTTCTGATTTTAGGGGGAAAATATTTTCTGTTAAATTCGGTCAGGACACATGACTGCTAAACAATGTTAAGAGGCTTGATTTTTACAACTAGACTTTTCCAAAATAAGGAAGTTAGCAATGCTCTGGACCCAAATTACTCAAGAAAAGTATTGTAAGAAAATGTAGGCACTTTCTATTTCTCCTGGAGTGCCTCACAGATTGCCTTGAATATGCTAGATGCTCATTGAGTAGCTGCTACACACTAATTCTGTGAAATAAAAGTAGGTTTTAGTATTAAGTCTCCAGTAGAATGAAGAACCTTCCAGGCAGCTCATTTAATCTTTTTGGTAAGAAATTCTGACTCCTAGCTGTAATTTGGAACTTACTGTTACAAAGTGTTCCGAGGGTATCATAATCTTCCAAAGATTCGCAGACCACTCGCCATTGAGAGAAGACGGAGTTTGGACTTATAAGACTGGAATCGAAGTTGCTTCTCGATCCCATCATGTCATCAGTGCAGATATCGCATATGTTTTTGCCAGTTGCAAAATTCCAGTAAGGAAGGGAGAAAGTAGGTTCTTGCAACATTTCCTAGATCACAGAGACTCTGTTAGTATTCTCTGCTTGTATTTACAGTCTGTCTCTTTGCTTGTCCTACTCCCGGCAGTCTGTTTCTATTAACTTTCTTAAGCCACCAAGGAACCAGTAAGTGCATGGCCAGTGTCTAAGGGGCCAGGAGAGGTTAAATACCTTATTTTACAAAGCTGGTAGTTTATTGTAAGAAGTGATTTAAGCACTGGAGTAAATGAAACTCAATTCATGCATGCACAAGTTCTTATAGAAGATTGGGTAGGAAGGGAGCTTTTTCTTTTCTTTTTTAGGTAGGTGATTTCTATTGGTTGCACCAAAAATTATAAATAGCAATACTCACTCCTTAATATTTCCACATTCTTCCATTTTCCAATCTTTAATTCAGGCATCACTGATTCAGTCTGGAGCCAAATCCAGGCTTTAAATGTATTTTGTGGAACAGTGATTTTTGTTACATTTCCGTTTTTAAATTTAATTTGAATGAACTCAGCCTTTAATTTCTGCTTTTCCCACAGGCCATATTGGCTCCTTCATTCTTACCTTATCTCTCTGGGCACTACAGGTGTATTATTCAGACACTGCTGCCTCAGAGCCTATCTACGAAGTCTCAAGCTTCTTCCTGAAACTCATACACAGGCCGGAAATGCTCAACAGGAGCACAGTAATTCTTTTTGCCCATTGTTCTTTAGGCCAGAGACATAGTTTACACTTGGAGCTAATCTCGTATTTTTTTCAAATGCTAGATTCAAGAGCACACACTTATTTTACTGGGTTCCTTAAAACATATGTTTATTTGTTACTTCTCATTTTTCTTGGCTTTTGGGGAGTTATATTTAGACAGTGGGATTTAAATGTAGGAATTATCATCCTTTTATCTTACCTCTCAAGCACTCACTACATTGCTACTGCTTTCACTTTAAATCCCTTTCTAGGAAGCATTTCCTTACCCTGGGCTATTTTTTTTTTTTTTTTTTTTTTTGACCAAACGCTCTCCACGACCTCCCGTTATTGATCTCCAGGGGTTTGTAGTCCTCTTTTAGAAGCCATCATTGCGGTTCACAAAAATTAGTGACAGCTTCCAAGGGATCATTAAGAGTCAGCTTGTGGTTCAGCAACTGACATTTGGGAGCCCGAGCATATTCATGTGGCATTTCAAGTGTGTGTCACATTTAGATTGTAATTTGTTGGATCCCTTGTGCTGCTTGGTTTTAAAAGTGTAAGTCAGAGGTTGAAGTTTACACAGGCAAAATTGAAGCTTTTAGATACTTTCCACCTGCCCTTTCATTTTGGTGTGCCTGTGGGAAAATGGCTTAAAGGCATGAAGATTTGGAGTCGATTACAAATGACAGATTTATCTACTCATAATCTACCAAATGTCTCACTTGTATCAAAGCTATAAAATATGATGTTCAGAGTATTAGATGAATTCATTTAATCATTCTCAAACTGCATAAGGATAGATTGCTTCCCAACCAATATTTTATTCTGTGTTTTTGTGCATTAATTTTCTCTTTTCTAATCATTTTTTTTCTTGGAATATTGCTGACGCACACATCTACAAATCAGTAAATGAATCTGAACACCTTTTCTGTCTTCAAATCTCTTAAAGTTACTTTACATTTTAATTTGAAGGGAAAGATACATTGCTGTTGTTTCACACAGAAAACATTAAATTTGTGACTTTCAAGTTGAGAGTTAAAATTTAATATTACTTTTCTCAAAAAATAGAGCATTCGGGGAAGAAAAAATGATATATCTATGTTAACAAATATTTTAATCGGTTTTGAGCTTATCTACCTGAGAAATGCTTGAGTTGAACTCCTTGCCAAGAAAAGCCATTGTTTCTTAATTAAAAATAGCACCTGAATGATGTGATTTTGGGTCTTAAGTTTTTTAGGTATTTAAGATACACAACATGATGCTTTGATATGCATGTGTACTGTGAAGTGATTTCTGTACACATGCAAATTAATATCGCCATCATTTCACATAGAAATGAGATGCTTTTAAATAGGTTCCCTCTGCAAAATCATAGTAGCAGGGGTCATGGGAACTAGTTTAATGAAAAGATAACAGTCTAAATAGAAAGGAACTCTTTTCATAATTTAAATCGTATATTACACTGGAAAGCATCATTGAACTGGTATGATGAGGTATTTGTAACTGAAGCCTGAGACGTATTTACTACACAATTGCTTCATCCAGACCAGGCATGGTATGTACTCACATTTGTTAAAGAAAGACATAGCCTATGAGATTATTTTGCTTCAAGCTTTCTGAGAGTCAGTTTTCAATTTTAGAGCTGTAGAATATTTCAAAACTTTTAATTGACACCTAAAAATATTTCCACTGACTTTCCCATCAATACTACTTCTTTTCACTTCACTAATGATAATTAGTAAGTAAGTAATCAGAAGAGAGAGAAACTTTACTGAATGACAAAGGCAGACTAATAAACTGAAATTACTTAATCAACAACATGTGATCACTTGGAAAAACAATGAATTAAAATGACTCACAGCAAAGGCATCTCGTCTGTAAAGGATCTGAGACTGGAAATGTGTTGTGTTTACCTGCATGTCTCTCTCCAGCTGCAGTAGGTGGTACCTGTGCCATGTGAGGAAAGCCGGTCCTTCATGAGAAAAATCAACTTCACCAAAGCTTTCCTGCCCCGGACCAAGAAAAGTCTTTTTGACTGAGTAATAGTGTGTCCAAACAAAGTAGTTATAAATGGAAATATTCTCAAATTGTGGTGTATTGCCATCTGGCCCCAATATTTCCTCTGATCTCCTGGTGGCAATGACAAACTGAGGGTGAGCTGTGCGCTTGGCCATATCCAGGGCTCGGACGAAGTGGTTCTTTTCCTCGATACTTAAATCCAGAATATTTCTCCTGACTTTAGGGATAAAAAAGTCAAACATGAGATATCTGCTTTGTGGGAGATTGATATAGGATGCATAAAATCATGTTGTAGCACATTAAGTCCAATTCATTCATTAATGGTTATGTGTACATGTGTTCTCTGTCTTAAATTATTTTATACTTTGGAAAATAAATGAAAAATAATAGAGACCTTCCTTCAGACCTGCTTTCTTTCTGTGTCTTCACCTCTCTGCAATTTGCTCTAGGGATTCCATTTCCTTTCTGTAATCATGTGCATGTAATGATTCTGGGATTCTTTCATATTTATTTTTGCTCACTCTTGACATTTTTAAAAATTTTCTCTGTTTTTAACACCAAAATGCTTGCAAAAACAATATCGACCATGTGGTCTAGTGATTAAGAACAGAGACGTGTTCTATGACTTCTGGAAGATTTTTCTAAACTTCAGTTTTTCATCTGTAAATACGGAAAAAATAATACCTACTACATAAAGATGTATAGATAAGAGATCATACACATAGAAAGCAGTTAGATCAAGGCCTGGCATATGATAAAGACTCAATAAATGTTATTTATGCTCTTGGTCTGGTATGGCACATAGAAAGCAAGTATTTCTGGATTTTCCTATTTAATGCTGTTTAGGCTGCAGGCCAGGCTCAACATCTAAAATGCCTTATTTTGATCATCACAGTGGTAAATTTTTTGTGTGGTCCATGACAGGTAGTGGAAGAGCTTAAATAAAATACTAGAGCTAGACACAGTGTCAAGTTGATCAACTACCAGATATGTGAATCCAAACCTTCTGAAATACCTTGATGAGTTACTCAAAGGACTAGTTATAAATGCCTAGCCTATTTCTTGGCATATAGTGGTTGGCTGACAAATGTCTGGGGAAGAAATATTATCAATTAGCTTCCACCCCAACCCTTGAAGCTAAACAAGTTTCTTAATCTTTCTAAGCCTCAGTTTCTCCTACTGTGAAAAGAGTTGTTTGAACAAGATGATTGCCAGCTGTTCTTCCAGATCAAATGATATAGGATTCTGTTAAGGGCTTTGAACCTCATACAAGCCTGTACTCATTCTTATCTTGTCTTACCTGTAAGAATCCTCTGGTCACAGGCAGCTCCCCTCCAGCCAGGACGGCAAGTGCCACAGTTGTGTCCTGAGAAGTTACCATTGCAGTGGCATGTTCTATTGAAGAACCGTGTGGGCCAGGCCTCCCGATCATCTCTGCCATCATGGGGGTAATGGGGACTGTGGGGTCGGGAGTCTGCAGTCACTGCTTCACACCTGCCTCTGCCTGATGATGAGCCACAGGGGTCAGTCCCCGGCCCAGCTAGAGGGGACAGGTCTGGGCAGCACACACCACTTCTCAAAGCCTCAACGGTGGCACATTGGCGTGGGAACTGAGCCCAGGATTGCTGGAAAAGCAGCACAAGGGAAAAGATACAGTGCAGAGACAACAATTTCTGAGCTTTCATTTTCCTTGAAGCAAGAGTGCAGTACAAAGTTCTGGTTTGCAGCCCTTTGAGTAGAGAAGACTGAGGCATATAGACCAAAGTCCAGCTGTAAAGGAGGAAACAAGAAGGAATTACGGAATGTTTTTCTGTACTTTCACACATGCCATGAGTCCTTCCAAACTTACCTTCAAAATGAAGCCCACATCTGTAAAATGACATCCCAAATAATAAAAGAAGTCATTTATCTTTAAACATTTCACATGTGCAATGCCTACACAATTAAATCCTGGGCCATAGTCATTTAGGTTTCTTCATATATATATATATATATATATATATGTAAATACACACACTCACACACTTAACCTGAATATCATTCATCAAAAGCATTCATTAGCAGGTCACTGCCATTAATTACACTTATCCATGGAGCTTAAAGAAGATTGGAAGCAGATTTCCAGCAAGTTAATTTCCATGATTGGATGTCCCTTATCCTAACGGAGTTTGGGCAGGAGTCCTCTGTTCCCCACGGAGCTTCTCTACAGTACCTCCAACTCCTGTGGTGTCCTTCCGCTGAGCCTCCCTGAGAGCTGAGTGTTTTGTATTTGCTTGTCCTCTGCTGTCAGAGCCCTTAATTGCATGTGAGTGACTGCTTCATAAGTAATCCCAAATCTGCTCACCCAAACTGGGAGGGGCTGGTCCTCGTCTCCACCCTTTACTAATCCTTTTTCACATCAGTGAGATTTTCTGCCCTTTAACTGTTTGATTAGCACATGATTCTCTTCCCACTGATTTCCTTGTGATGCTGAAAGTTTTAAGAAAAGGTCAGAAGTGCTAATTTGTAACACAAGGCAGAGAAACTAGAGAGTTTTTTGTTTTCACTGGAAAGACAGTAATTTTCCCATTAGTAGTATCCCTTTGGAGGATGGAACAACATTTATTACTTTTTTTTTTTTTTTAGTTATGTAAAGATCAGGCTAGTGCTAAATTTAGTTGTGCTCTTTCTGGAAAAAAGATGTTGCCATTCTTATAAATTATAGAATCATTGTAGTGGACAGCAAAGGCATCAGGTACAATTACACCATATTGAATGACATTGGCTATCATGATGTGTGCTCGCTTTGACATTGTTGGGTACTCCAACTCCATCAGCTCCTTCTCATAAAGCTATTTTCTGTCTCTGTGGGGAAGGATCACAAGGTCACTGCTACCTCTATTGTTTAGAATAAATGGCTTGTTTCTTACTTTCTCTGCAAACATTCATAAGCCAGTGGCACTTAGGGGAAATGATTTGTGTATTCCAAGAGGAATTTTCTAATAGAGTTGAAAACTTATGCAGGAGCTTTCACTGTGGTATATCAGGTTAAGGTGCTGATTGCAATGCTGGCATTCTTCATTGGAGTGCTGGTCTAAGTCCTGGCAGCTTTGCTTTTGATCCAGCTCTTTGTTCAATGTTCCTCAGAGGGAGTAGATGATGGCCCAAGTGCTTGGGTTCCTGCCACCCATATGGGATACCTGGATGGAGTTCCTGTCTCCTAGCTTCTGCCTGGCCCTACCGTGCTGTTGAGGCCATTTAGGAGTGAACCAGCAAATGAAGGTTCTTTCTTTTCTCTATCACTGTTTTTCACTTTCTCTCTCTCTCACTCTTGAAGAAGAAAGAGGAGGAGGAGGTGGAGGAAGATGAGGAGGAGGAGGAGGGAAGTAAACAAAAACTCATGCATTTGAAGTCTATCTTCAAATGTAAAAATTTGTTTGGAATACATAATAGATGTACAAATGTTATCAGAATTCATGACCAAAGTTAGATGTCCTCCATGACTAACAGACATAAAATTGTCCAGAAAAACAAGGTAATTGAATGTATAGATACAAATAAAAACCATAATTAAGGCCAATGGTACTAAGGGTAATATACTTTTGTATTTCAGGATAATTTTCTTCTGGAGTTCTACTTAACTATAAGCCATAAAACTGTCCAGAAAATTATATAAAAGTGTGAAAGCTATGGTTATAAGCAAAGGACAACTAAGGCTATGTCTATAAATTTAGGTAAGAAAAAAATGAAAGAATCTTCTGTTTAAAGGCCCTGCCTGTGCTAACAACTGGTTTATTACAACTGCATCAAACCACAGTTATTCAGATGCCTTCTTTTACTTATTTTTAGTTTTTGGTTGCTACTTATGTGAGAACTAGTTGATGTATACACATATTAGCATATTTCCTAAACTGCTATGAAAACAGACTTATTCTGGTGATGATTAATCCTTACACAGGGGTCAACATGTTTTTCCTTTTGGGTCTCTGGGCTGTTAGAATCCCTAAAACATTTTTATGACTATATATCTAAAACTCAGTAACCAGAACTTCTTTCACTAATGTGCTGTCTCTAAAATGCTCCAAGGCTGTGGCATGAAAATACTGTAGTGATATTTTAGATTTTTAAAATGACAGTTTGATAAATTATAAGAATATACTAAGATATGTTAACCCATTTTCCTGTTAGTAGACATTTACGTTATTTTCCAGGATTCTTTTTGTGTGTGTTTTTCTTATGAATAATGCTACCATAAATAGGCTTTAAATGTTTCCTGATGACATATTTAGCACTCATTTCTTTGGCTTCAGATGAAGCAAATTTGAATGTATATAAATTATATATGTGCATGTATATATGTGAGTATGTATCATACATGTGTATATAGGTTAGAAATAATTTCTTCATGGCAAATATCTAGAGAAAGGATTATTAGTCACAAAATAATTCTAAATTACTTTCAAAATCATAACAAGTTTTTATTCACCCAAACTTTTTTTAGATTTACTTATTTATTTATTTGAAAGGCAGAGCAACAGAGAGTGAAAGAGATCTTCCATTTGCTTTTTTTTTAATTAATTAATTTATTTGAAAGTCAGAGTTACACAGAGAGAGGAGAGGAGGCAGAGAGAGGTACAGAGACAGAGGTCTTCCATCCACTGATTCACTCCCCAAATGGCAGCAACAATTGGAGCTGTGCCTATCTGAAGCCAGGAGCCAGGAGCTTCTTCTGTATCTCCCACATGGGTGCAGGGGCCTAAGGACGTGGGCCATCTTGTACTGTTTTCCCAGGCCATAGCAGAGAGCTGGACTGGAAGTGGAGCAGCTGGGTCTTGAACTGGAGCCCATATGGGATGCTAGTGCTTCAGGCCAGGGCGTTAACCCACTGTGCCACAGCGCCTGCCCCTCCATTTGCTTCTTTACTCCTCAAATGGTCACAATGAATGAACCTGGGCCAGATTGAAGGTGGGAGCCAGAAACTCCATCTGGTCTCCCATGTAGGTGGCAGGAGAACAAGCACTTGGGTAACCACCTGCTGCTTTCCCAGATGCATTAGCAGGGAGCTGAATTGGAAGCAGAACAGACAATAATCAAATTAGTTCTTTGATACAGGATGCTGGTGTCAGAAGTCGTGGCTTAACTGTGCTAAAATGCTGGCCCAAGGGGCTGGCGCAGTGGCTCACTTGTTTAATCCTTCATCTACGGCGCCAGCACCTGAGGTTCTGGTCCCGGTTACTTCTCTTCCAGTCCGGCAGTGGAGGCAGTGGAGGATGGCCAAAGTGCTTGGGCACTTGTACCCATGTGGAAGACCAGGAAGAAGCACCTGGATCCTGGCTTCAGATCAGCACAGTGCCAGCCATGGTGATGGCCATTTGAGGAGTGAACCAATGGAAGGAAGACCTTTCTCTCTGTCTCTCTCTCTCACTGTCTATAACTCTACCTGTCAAATAAAAAAAAAATGCTGGCCCCATTCAAGAAGGTTTTTTAATTATTACTTTGTATACATATATGAGGCAGAGTTTGGTAATTCAATACATATATTCAGTAGTTGATGATCAAATCAGCTTATTTAGCATTTCCATCTCTTTGACATTTTTATAATACTGCTATAATTTTTTTATGAATTCAATAGCTTGCTAACACTTAGATTAATAGATGATTGTCAATGATAAAATAATACTCCTTCATTATTGTCAGTTTTGCTCTGTTGTTTTGGCTACCCAGGGTCAATTGCAGTTTGAAAATATGAAATGGAAAATTCCAGAAAGAAGCAACTCATAAATTTTAATTCTTGGTTATTATATCTACTATTATAGTATAAAGTGTTTGCATTCAGATAATTCTTGTTTTACTTACTAATGTCCCCAAAGGACAAGAATAGTGATCCTAGAGATTGGATCTGCCAAGAACAATAATGTGCTTCTTTATGGAAAAAGGTAAAATTCCTGATTTAATAATAATTTAAAAAATAATATGCTAAGGTTGCTAATATCTAGGGTAAAAACAAATGGAAAGAAATCAGTACAGAGTTCAGTACTACCTATTGTTTCAGGTATCCACCAAGGATGAAGGGGTACTACTGTATCTCCTGAACTTTTTTTCCATTGGATAAAATATCATAAAACATTAATAACAGTGGCTATTTTTTCATGAATACTTAATTAATAATTTTTATTTTGCTGCAAGTTCTTCATTATTCCAGTAAGTCTTATGAAATTTTAATTTCATATTGCTTCCTTGGCTTACTCTTCTATGGGTTTAATGCTTAGGGCAAAGTATAATAAAAATAATGCAAGATTTTGAGCTACATTGGGAAACTGGTATGGTAATTATAGAATATCATTTCTTTACTTCTTTCACATAATTTCAAAGAATTACATTCTAATTTGAATATGGTAAAATTAACATATATTTGTTACTATTTCATAAAAATCATCTTTCTGAACTTTTGTATTTCCTATTTACTTAGGTCCATTATTATAATGAGATGTTTATCATCTGTAATCAATTTATTAGCATTTTTATATAATAAGATATTAACTCCCTGCTTATCTTTCATACATCAAATGCATTTTTAAGTTTGTAATATGTTGTTCAAAGTTTCTTTGTGGTGTGTTCATGTACATCTTAATATCACAGCCAGGGCAGGTGTAGTGTTGTAGCAGGATAAGTCACCACTTGCCATGTCAGCCATCCCATATTGGAGTGCCAGCATGAGTCCTGGCTCCTTGATTTCTGATCCAGCTTCCTGTTAATGCACCTGGGAAGGCAGCAAGAAATGGCCCATGTGCTTGGGCCCCTGCCATACGTGTGGGAGACCTGGATGGAGTTCCTGGCTCCTGACTTCTGCCGGGCCCAGGCTTGGCTGTTGGGACTGTTTTGGGAGTAAATACGCAGATGCAAGATCTCTCTCTTTTCTTACACTGTTTTCCAAATAAACAAGGATTTAAAAAGTCAAAAGTACCAGGGATTTAATTCACTGTCTCTTATAATTTTTGGCTTAGAAAGTTCCTCTTCATTTAGAAATTGATCTTTTCCCCCTTCCTCTTAAGTCCTTACCACATCCAGAATTCATGTGACAAGTGATTTGGATAGATATAAATATGTTTTTTCAAATGTTATCCTATGTTGTAAAGTACCACCACTTGGTCGTGGGTATTCACGTGCTAATTTTTGTTTGCAGAACTATTGAGTTATCTTCTATAGAAGATGAGCACTCTGGTCTACTGACGCCTACCTCACTGTTCTTCAGTACCTAAAGGCATGTAGTGTACACATACTCTTTGAGTCAGTAGCCTGGGACTTGTTTGCTATAGTCATACACACACACAAAACAAAACAACACAA